ATCGATAAGAAAGGAGTTACTTCTGCCATTTTATTTTGTGTGTGTGTTTGTCTTACACCTTCTTTGTCCCTCATTTCCTCCAGTACTGCCAACATTTGTGTTTAGTTGATTTCTTGCAGTGTATTATTTTGTTTCCCTTCCCATTTCCTTTTGTGTACATTTTAAAGCCATTTTCTCCGTAGTTACTTTAAGGATTATATTTAACATTTTACTTTTATAACAACCTGGTTTAAATTGATACCCACTTAACTTCAGTAACATACAAAAACTCTATTCCTATACCACTCCTGTCTTCTCTCGTTTGTGTTGCCATCATCACCTGTTACATCATTATACAGATGTGTGTATCATGCTCAGTAACTATGCATTTGTCATTACAAAGTATGTCGAACATAACAACTAGAATTTTGAACCCAAAATACCTTAAAACTTATTCTTACACTTGCACGGCTTTGAGTTACTATCTAGTATTCTCCCTTTCCATCTGAAGTACTCCCTTTAGCATTGTTTATAGGGCAGGTTTAGTTGTAACAAAAACTCCCTCAGCTTTTGTTTATCTGGGAATATCTTAATTTTGCTGTCATTCTTGAAGGACATTTTTGACTGATGTAGTATTCTTTTTTTTGTTTTTCTATTAGATGAATTTATACAGGTGGAAGATTTGCAAATTGGGTAGCACCAAACTGAAAGTGGAAAGGTACTCTGCCGAGTATCAGCAGTGATTGACTTCGTATTTGACAAAATGCAGAAGCAAAAGCAGCTTATTTCTGATTGGCTTATGCAGTTTACTACTGAGGCGCTGTCAGGATTTCACTGGTCCAGGAGAGTGGAAATGCTGTCAGAATCTCATTGGTTAATGAGAGTGGCCTGATTTACAGGAAAGCTAGGCTTAAGTTTTGATAAAGACAAGTCTTAGGGGTATGGTCCACTTTATTGCGGATGCCATTTTGTTAACCACATGACTCTGTTTTTATTTCTTCTAACAATTCTCCCTTTTGATCAAGACATTCAAAGAAGGTCTTTGGTCAAATTACTGACATCTCCTTTTGCCTTCCCATGGGCCTTCTTCTGCATGGACTTATGCTGACCAATATCTGACCATGCCTCTTAATTTCTGGGTCTTCACCATGCCATAGCTAAGGCTCCAGGCAATGTTAAACAGATTGATTGACTAGTGGAGTAACAGTGTACTTGAGAAATGTCATCAGCTGGTGTCTTAGTCATCTAGTTCTGCTCTAACAGAAATACCACAAATGGATGGCTTCAACAAAGAGAAGTTTATTCTCTCACAGTCCAGTAGGCTGCAAGTCCAAATTCAGGGCGTCAGCTCCAAGGGAACACTTTCTCTATTGGCTCTGGAGGAAGGTCCGTGTCATCAATCTTCCCTTGGTCTGGGAGCTTCTCTGCACAGGAACCTCAGGTCCAAAGGATGCGCTCTGCTCCCAGCACTGCTTTCTTGGTAGTATGAGGTTCCCATGTGTCTCTGCTCACTTCTCTCTTTTATATCTCAAAATAGATTGGCTTAAGACACTATCCAGTCTTGTATACCTCATCAGTATAACTGCCGCTAATCCGTCTTGTTACAACATAGTGATTGAATTTACAACACATAAGGAAATCACATCAGATTACAAAATGGTACACAATTATACAGTACTGGGAATCATGACCCAGCCAAGTTGTCAATCCATGACAGCTGGGTCAAGCAGGTCAAGACTCTATAGCCTGATTATTTTTACTGTCAGAGGCAAAAATAGTATCTTGTAGAAGCATTATTCTATGGAGAGAATGAATGTTGGTAGATTGATTACAAGCACCCTGAAAATAATTTGTAATATGTTTGATCCTTCCACAGAAAACAATAATCATGATTAAAATTATAATTCCTGTTTGGATTAAAGAGCACGTCCAAGACCCTACATCAGTAGGGAGCCAGCTAAACAGATCAAATCCCCAGCTGGGATGAGATTCTACTTGGTGTAACCAGTGTGCTTGTTTGTTGGGTTTTGGTTACAGCTTGTTCAACTTGTCCAGTGGACTTTATCCATGTCCAACAAGAAGTGTTAGCTATTGTACATACGCCTCCTTTTTGGGCTAGAAGAAATCCTAAAGCAGTTCTTTATTGGATGTAGTATTCTGGGTTGACAATTCTTTTCTTTCAGTACTTTAGATACATCTTTTCACTGCTTTCTGGCCTCCAAGTTTTCAGAGGAGAAATCGGCACTTAATTTTGTTGGTAATCCCTTGTATGTGACAATTCACTTCTTTCGCTCCTTTCAAGATTCTCTGTTTATCTTAGTTTTCGAGAACTTGATTATAATGTGTTTCGGCGTGGATGTTTTTGGGTTTATCCTGCTTGGAGTTTGTTGAGCTTCTTGGATTTTTAGATTTATGTCCTTCGTCAGCTTTGGAAAGTTTCTGCCATTCTTCAAATGTTCCTTCTGTCCCTTTCTCTCTCTTTTCTCCTTCTGAGATCCCCATGATGCATAAGTTAGTTTGCTTGATGGTGGCCCATTTCCAGTATGCTGTGCTCAGAGGTCTTGATCCTTCTCTCCTGTAGCTCTTCAGACTCAATACTTTCAATGACCTTATCTTCTAGTTCATTGGTTCTTTCTTCTGCCAGCTCAAATCTGTTGTTGAGTCCTTTTGATGAATTTTTCATTTCAGTTATTGTATTTTCCAGCTCCAGTATTGGTTTGTTTTCTTTTTATAGTGTCTACATCTTTATTTATATTCTTGTGTTATTCATGTATTGTTTTCCTGATTTCCTTTAGTTCTTTATCCATGTTTTCCTTTAGTTCTTTGAGGATGTTTAATACTTAAAATCCAATCTGTCCATTTTCCAGGTTTCCATAGAGATGATTTCTCACATTTTGTCCAGGTCTTCGAACCAGTTCATTCCACTTCAAACCTCTGCTGAGAATTTGTGTTTCTAACAAGTTTCCAAGAAATTATACTAAAAATCACCTGGGGATCTTGTTAAACTGTAGATTCTGAATCAGTATATCTGGAGTGGGAATGCAAATTCTCAGCAGGGGTTCAAACCAGTTCTAAGCCCTGCTTTTGTCTGATGCTTTTGAATAGCCTATTATTTCCAGTTTCTTTTTGTCCCTTGTGATTTTTTTGATGAAACCTGGACATTAGAATATTACAGTGTGTTACCTTTCTCAGTTCCCATGTAAACATGGTGCTTTTAAAAGCACTTACTTCTGCAAGAAACTCTCAGGTGGGCTCAGCCTTCAGTCTTTCTCACTGCTCCCGCCTTACCCTGTGAGAGCTCCGTTCAGGCCAGACTGAGGTTTCAGTCCTTCATGCCACTCCCCACCGTGGCCAGAAGATACACACTGATCAGTCCGCCAGCAAGGTCAGTCCCATTTACTTCAGACCCTGAGATCAGGACCCTTCTTTGTGCACAGGAGAGCTATGGGTCGGCTGGGGCACCGCTGTAGCCATCTGACTGCCACACTGGGAGGAGGAGGGGCGGGACAGTGGAGAAAGATTGTCCTACCATTTAAAATTTGCCTTGATCTCGCTTCAGTTTGCAGCTCCTTGTTACCAACCTTCACCGACTTCGGAGTTCTTACAGGGTTTGGCACAGGCTTCTAGTTGCTTTTTGTGGTGCTCGTGTGGGACAGTTGGGGTCTGGACCTGCTCATGCCACCATCTTCCCGAAGTCTCTCTTTGCAGCTCTTTTTGTCCCCTGCTTTGAGGGCTCTGATAGTAGGTGCATATATTACAATGTGTTATTCCACTGAGTTAATATTCTACCCAGGACTTAGACACAAAAATGCCTTTTAAAGTTACTTGAAATAATTACTGTCACCAATGTGGTATGCAGTGAAGTTCATTTGCTTCAGTTTATTTTTAAATCTTTGTAGATTTCTTTTTTCTTTCCGATTTAATTTAACTTTTTGCGTATGTAAGATATTTTATGTTTACAAAGTCAAATTATCTAACAGGATACATTCTGAGAAATTTCACTTCCATCCTTGACCCCTCACCCTATAGATAACCATTTTTATTTTTTGTTTATACTTCTGCGATTTCTTTTTGAAAACATAACACACAGGTACGTTTGTGTTCCCCCACCCCTGCCTAATACAATGTAGTCTAGAGATCACTTTTAGTCGGTATGTAGAGGTCTTCCTGACTTCTTTCTATGGGTGCATAGTGCCCCATGGTGTGACATACCATAGTTTATTTAACCAGTCCCCACTGGTGGACATTTGGGTTATTCCCAATATTTTGTTGCTATAAATAATACTGCAATGACTACTTTGTACCTAAGTCACTTCATGTTTTTGCTAGTATATCTTTGGTGTAGATTCCTAGATGTTGGACTGCTGGGTCAATAGGTGAGTGTGTCATTTGGCAAAATACCACCAAGTTCCTCTCCTCAGGCTGGCATTATTTTGTGCTCCCATCAGCATTGTACAGAGCACATCCCCATAGCCTGGCCAACAGGGAACACTGTCGGGTTTACAGGACTTGCCGGCATAAGAAGCGAAAGGTCGCGTTTCAGTGTAGTTTTAATGGCCCCTCTCCTATTCTGAGTGTGGTTGACTGTCTTTTTATATGCTTAAGGGCCATTTTTATTTATTATTCTGTGAACTATGTGGTTCTCTCTTCTGACCTAGGGTGCTTTTTAAAAACATGTACTTCCTAGGCCCCACCCAGAACTGCTGATCAGAATCTTGAGGGTGCTCCTGGCTAGTCTGGTAGAGGACTGGGTTTGGGAGCCACAGTTGGGTGTTCTGAGCCAGGAGTCTGCGCTGTGTTGTGACCTGTCCAATGTCTCTTGGACAGGAGGCCTCAGGCCAGAGTCCTGTCACTAGCAGGCCTGTGATGTCCACAGACCCTGTGCTTGTTCTGGTGCCCAGGGCCTGAGACTCTGCCTCTAGCTGTCCCCAGAGGGTGTTCTGGTGGGGACTCCAAGGGGCATCTCCTGGCCACCTGCAGCTCTCTGTGTAGTCCTCAGTGTCGCTGGTCTTCATCCCCAGGCCTCTCTCCAGACCCAGAGCACATGCCTGGCCCAGCCAGCCCAGCCCAGGAGGAGCCAGGAGCAGGGCAGACACCCAGGCACCAGGGGGCCTTGGAAGCAAGAGTGACGCCTCTTGGGCAGAGCACTGGTGAGTGAGGACAGCAGAGGCGGCAGCAAATGGTGTCACAGCCATCCCTGGTTAGAGACACGCAGTGCTGAGTAAGAGCTCTAGAGCTCAGGATGGGAGCGGGGCCGGGCTGGGCTGGGCTGGGCAAGCTTCCTGGGAGGCCTGGGTGCCCTGCTGGCCCAGCCTCTGCTGCTGTCCGCCGCCGACCTTCCCTGCTGGCCGGCCGTCCCCTGCTTCCCATGGCTGGTGCCGCCTCCACGTGTTTACGAGCTCCCCGAGGTGGAGGGGACATCACCGCCTTCATACGGACCTCTTTCCCCAGCCGTGCCCCTAGAGCAGGAGTGGTGGGACCTTCTCAGGAAGGCAGCATCCCTGCCCCATCTTCAGACCTTGTCACATGCCCAGCCAGGCCTCCCAGCCCTCTGTCTCTGGGGGCCGTAGAGTGACAGTCAGGTGCTCAGGGCCCATGGTCACACTGCCCTCATGGGAGTGGGGTGAGGCCTTTACAGCTCCCTTCTCCCCACTGAGTGGAGGCTGCAGCCCCCAGACAGGCCCTGGGACCCCTTTCCTTGGCAGGGGACTGCGCACGTCCAGGGCCTGCTGGGGGGGGCAGGCCCACCCTGTGGTACCCAGTGCCAAGGAAAGGCCCAACGAGACTCTCTCTCCCACAGGGCCTCCAGCCAGCACCCACGTTGTGTCCTCGATTAAACGGGGGGAAGACATCTTTGGCGAGGCGTCGCCCACCTCCTCTCCCAGGGAGACCTTGCCCGACATGGGGCCAGGTGAGTGGAGGGGCAGCCCCACAGCAGACCCACACAGGCTCTGGGAGCCCTCTGGGGAGTGGGGCGGGTCCCAGGACTGGCCTGGGGGTGGGGTATAGCTGAGATGGGACCTGGCGGTGACTGACCCTGTCTGATGCCGGCCTTGTCTCACGCCCCCGCGTCTCACAGCTCCAGTGTGGTGGGCCTGGGTCTGTGCTTGCCTGGTAGCACTAGGCTCCCCGCCAACCCCGGCACCGATGAGCAGGGAGCCATCACTGCCATTGTGTCCTGCCACCTGTCTGGGCTCAGTGGGTGGTGGGGACAGGTGAGTCTGGGACTCAAATAGACCTCAAAGTTCAAGAATACCATTGTATCCACTAAATGCAGGCAAGTGTTACCCAGAAGCGTAGGTGACCCCGCAGAGAACTTAATGGTTCTATAGCTACAGGATGAGTTAAAAACGGTCAGGCCATTTCTAACAGAAGCGAAGTTCTCAGCACAGTTGTGCGTGAGGGTGGTCGGGTCAGTGGTGGGCAGCAGAGACGCACGGCACCGGGCGGTGCAGAGCTGCCCAGGGGTGGGAGGCGTCAGCAGTTCAGTGGTTCTTCCTCACAGCAGCCCTGGCCCCTGATTTAACTTCCTCCTTCAGGAGAATGATACTTACACGGGCCTGGGCCTTGGAAGTTGCTCACAGAGAGCTGAAGAATTCCATCAGAAATGTGCAGAGGGCAGGGGTCCGAGGTTGGCTGCAGAGCAGACCACAGGGCAACAGCCAAAGTGGGGGTACTGGAAGAGCACAGAGGAGGGTGCAGGGGTGCCGGGAGAGCAGGGAGGAGGGTGCAGGTGTGCCGGGGGAGCAGGGAGGAGGGTGCGGGGGTGCTGGGAGAGCAGGGAGGAGGGTGCAGCTGTGCCGGGGGAGCAGGGAGGAGGGTGCTGGGGCCGACGTGCTCAGAAAGGATTCCAGGTGACGCCCAGAGAACAGCAGTATGGGGACTTGGCAGAAATGCCCAGTGTTCCAAATAGAACAGGGGTTGGGACCCTCCTTCCTAGCTTGAGGGACCTTGGTGGCTGTGTGCTGAGGCCTCGGGTGAGCACGCAGGCTGCCTCTGCCCACCCTCTCCTGGCCCAGGCCCACCCCACAAGGAAGTGGGCCCTCGGCAGGTATTTGAGTGAGGTAGGCCCCCACACACCAGGCTCTTTCCGTGGTCTGGGTGGCCTCCGGCCAGCGGAGCTCACGGCTGTTCGTAGTCACAACTAACCATCAAGCTGGCCACTGTCTCATTGTCCAGGGCCCCCTGAGAGCATCTCTGCCCCCTTTCATGGCCCCTACCTCTGTCTGCTCCTGCTGTCTGACGCTGGCCTTAGCTCCCTGGCTGCTGGCTTTGCAGCTTCTTGGCCTCCAGGAACAGACCATCTGAGTGGCCTCTTAGCCCCTGTGACAACAAGCAGGATGACAGGAGTAGGCCTGGTGCCTAATTGGCAGGACGCACCCTGTGTGCCTGGGCCCTTGTAGCAGGAAGGCGGTGGGCATGTGGAGGAGGGGATCCCCAGGGAGGTGGAGGCAGGAGTAGGAGTGGGTTGCCCGAGAGCCTGGTGCAGGCGGTCAGAGGGCCTGGTGGCGGCCCTGCATACACGTGGGATCAGTGGTGATCTTTCACCAGGTGGGGGCCGCGCAGCCATCAAGACCGAAGGCCAATCTGAGGACGAACTGATGCCAGAGCAGCTATTCCTGGGCAAGTCACCTGGCCAGGCCGAGTGTGGGGTCCCCAAAGGACCCAGGGACAGAGCTGGGGGCCCCCGCCGGCATCACAGCGGTGATGTGCCAAGGTTGAGGCCAGGGACCTTTCGCCCTCCTGGGGCCTCTGGAGAGCCGCTGCGCGTCCTCCCTCGCCGCCGGCAGCGGGCTTTCCTCTGCCCAGACTGCGGGCAGAGCTTCCGCTTGAGGATCAACCTGACCATCCACCAGCGGACCCACGCGGAGGAGGACCCTGGCGCGGCCGGCAGTGGCTCGCCCCCTGACTCGGGGGACGCCCAGCCCGCGCTAGAGCCCGGCGAGGTGGTGGCGCCCGGCCCAGTCATCCGCTGGCTGCCCGACGAGCCCGCGGCGCGGGACCCGGCCGACTGGGACCTGGGGAGACGGCGGCCGGGGACCGCCGCGGGCAAGGTGTACCACTGCAGCGAGTGCCTGCGCTTCTTCCAGCAGCGCAAGAGCCTGCTGCTGCACCAGCGCCTGCACACGGGCGACAGCCAGGGCTGGCCCTCTTGCCCCTACTGCGGCAAGGCCTTCCGCCGGCCCTCCGACCTCTTCCGCCACCAGCGCATCCACACAGGCGAGCGGCCCTATCGTTGCCCGCAGTGCGGCCGCACGTTCAACCGCAACCACCACCTGGCGGTGCACATGCAGACGCACGCCCGGGGCCAGGCGGGTCCGCACGGCGCCGCTCCGCAGGCGAGCCTGCCCTGGCCCAGGCCCGGCCGCCAGGAGGAGGGCCGCCCCCCGCCCCCAGGACCTGTGCGAGGGGAGGGCCGTTCCTTCTCCGCCTGACGCCCGAGCCTCCTCTGGATTTTTTCGCATTCGAAGGAGAAGCAGCGACCCCTTCGGTGACGTGTATGACCAGGTGCCTCAGTTTCCTAGGTTGGTCACGCTTTGCTGCCTTTCCCACATTCCTGACGGGTAAGGACCCCGAGGCTTAAGGGAGGCGGGTTTCTGGTGGGCCTTCAGCAGGCACCACAATCGGTCACGAGGGCCAGTTTGAGGCTCCCGGGCGCGAGGCAGACACACTGGGGCCTGGGGTTTTGATTTTGTGCAGAGGTCTTCCGCCTGAGTCAAGGTGAGAAGGCAGAGATTTGATTTTTTTTTCCTTTGTTATTTTGAAACATTTTTTTTTCCTCTTAATAAAACTTTTCTTGTGCTTTTGTAAGTGCTGTGTGTATTGCCAAGGGGACCAGGAGCAGCTGGGGGACGATCAAGTCTGGGTGGCTGATGGGTCAGCCCTGCCCTGGAAACAAGGCCGTTCTCCGGGAGCCTAGTCTCTCCCCAAAGGGTGTTCCCAGCCACTGTTTGTCTGGTTTTCAGTAGGGACGGGGACTGAAGCCCAGAATGAATGACCCTCCCGGGGGTCTCAGTGTTAATGGGTGAATGCAATCTGTCAACTGCATCCCATAAATCACCTTGATGGGGGTGTGGAGGGAGTCCAGGAATGGAAGGCGGTGGTCTGGGTGAGGCTGGTCAGTCGACCGGACTCTGGGGCACCCAGGCCTTGTCGTTTGGGGGTGAGGGGGTACCTGCCTCCAGTTCTGGGCCAATTTGAGGGCAGAGGGCTCTGGGCAGATTTAGGGCTGGGAGATCCCCCTGTATCTTGTGATCAGCCCCGCCTCACCTCCTCACCTGTCCAAGGGGAAAGCGGCCCTAGTGTTTCCTGGCTCCCCTCAGGGTGGTCAGGGTCATAATGGGCTTGAGGCGTGAGGACAAGGTGAAGCCTCCCCCAGTCAGAGTCCCTCAGGCCCTGATCTTCTGGAGTGCGGTGAGACTTTCCCACGGGTATTTTCATGGGACACATTCTTACCAAAGCTGTGGGAGTTCCGGAGTAGTACCGGCCGAACCCGGAGGCCTCGAGGACAGCTCTGTGCCTAAGTCACCCGAACTGGGCGCTGCAGGCGGCCGGTCCTGGGCGTGGTTGTGCTCATCTGTGCGACGCGGCTGTCGCTCAGGTCTGCCCGCCCCTGGCCCCTGCCCCCTCTGACCCTCAGCCTCTCCCAGACAAGCCAGGGCAGAGGACTGGAGCCGGGACACGTAGCCGTCGGCTCTGGGGCATGACCACCCAGTCAAACCTGGGGTTTGGGACAAGGCACCGCCGTGTCTGCACCCGGCCTCGGGCTCTCCTGGGGCGCCGACGCTGCGCCGCCTGGCCTCAATTCCGGGCCGCGTGCCCCGCTTGCGCGCGGCGCGCCCGCCTCCGGGCGCCAGACTCGGTTGGGACGCCCGGCGGGGGTGTCCGCAGCATTTCTTTGCGCAGGGCGAGCTGCGGACGGGGGGAAGCCTGGACCACTCGGCCTTGGCGGCCTCCAGTAAAACGGCACGGACTCCGTAAACGTTGGGGAGTCGGCGCGTGCGTGCACGTGACCTGCTCGGGCTCGCGGGGGGCGGTCAAGGCCAGAAGGGGCGGGGCTTCCCGGGGCTTTCCCAAGGGGGAGCTGGGTCCGGGCGCGGGGCGGGGCCCGGGGAGTGGGAGGCCGGCGGAAGGGGCGGGGCCTGCCTAGAGCGCACGACGAATGCCTTCCCGATCTCTTGCCGTTGCTATCTGCTCATCCCTATCTGCTCGTCCCTATCTGCCGGTCCCTATCTGCCCGAATGGGAGGCTGGGCCTGTGCAGATTCGGGCTCCTCCAGCCCTGGGGTCAGGCCAGCGGGCTCTTACTGGGGGCGGGGACCGGGCTGGACACCCTCACTCCAGAGACCTGCTCCCCACACGGCTGAGGGTCTCAGGGGCACAGCCCGACGCTCTGTCACTCCTCTCCAGGGGCCCCACGTCTCCCAACGCACAGGGAACTCGGTCTGCAGCCCTGTCATCCCGTCCTTACCTGAGCGCAGGTGCCTCTGCGGTGGGTTCTGCTGGCTTCCCCTTACCACCTCCTGCTTGATCCAGAGCAGAACTTCCCGGGGAGGCACCAGCTTGCCCCTTTCTAAGGCAGAGAGGAGGAGGCCCTGTGGGCACCTATGTCCCGGGTCTCGTCTTTCCGGATCTCAGCCTGAGACCGCACACCCCAAAGACGCCCTGTAGAATGGGGCCCAGCAGAAGCAGACCAGCAGGACTTCTGAGAACGAGTGAACAGGCTTCCGGGCGGGGTCCTCAACACCATCCCCCGCCTTCCACAGCAACAGAACACTTGCGTTTCTGCTGGTCACACGGCTTCCTCGAGTAAAGGCCACACTCCCGGGCCTCCCCTGCAAGTGTGGCCAAGTAGTCCGGTTCAGAGTAGCGGGACGCTGACCAGTGGGACGCGAGGGGCTCTGCCGCTTACAGCTACATGACGGTTGACAATTTATTTAAGCTCTCTGTGCCTGGGTTTCTTTATCACACGAGAAAACAAAAGGGACATATAACAAAGAGGTGTAAATGGATGGATATTTGCAAGGTACATGATAAATACTAAATATGTGTTTATTAATGCTGCTCCTAAAAGGAAAAGGCATCCCCTCTCCTTGCTTCCTTCTTCATGGCTACAGTGGCTATCCTGTACCATGGCAAAGAGGCCACACCTAGGGAAGGTGGACCAACAAGACAGAAGGAGCTGGGCCTCCCATACCTGAGTGGCTGGACAAGTCCTGTGGTGGGAGAAACAAGCCACTCTCTTATCTAAGCTATGGGGTTTTTTGTTAGTCTGTGTGACAGCAAGCAAACTTACATCCTGCATAACACAGTGACCAAGCGTAACTACCTCACCAATCTGCACGCATCTTTAAGACTCGTCTTAAAAACAGGGAATAATTACTGCTCCTTCTTCCTGTCCAGGGCTTGGTACAAGGTAGGCACAATCTTCGTTAAATAAGTGAGTGTATGGAGAACATTCCAAGCCACTAACATCCAGTAGCTAACTATGCATAGAGCTCCATGCTGTGCCAAATTCTGTACTGACTACAGAACACAGCTCTTCCCTGTCTACATTGTATATTGTATATATCCTATATGCTGTATGTTGTGTATAGTCTACATACTGTATATGCTATATGTTCTACATACCATGACATATATTCCATATCCTGTACATTGTGTTCATCCTACGTACTATATATATGTTCTACATACTGTATGTGATATATATTCTACATACCATATATGCTATATGTTCTACATACTGTATGATATATACTCTACATATGTGTACGTCATATACTGCATACATCCTATATAGTGTATGTACTATATGTTCTACATACTGTATGTGATATATATTCTACATACTGTATATGCTATATGTTCTACATACTGTATGATATATACTCTACATATGTATACGTCATATACTGCATACATCCTATATAGTGTATGTACTATATGTTCTACATACTGTATGACATATATTCTATATCCACTACAGCATATTCATCCTACATACTATATATATGTTCTACATGCTGTATGTGTTATAGGTTCTACATACTGTATATGCTATATATTCTACATACTGTATGTGATATATGTTCTACATACCGTATGACATATAGTCTATATCCGCTACAGCGTATTCGTCCTACATACTATATATATGTTCTACATACTGTATGTGTTATATGTTCTACATACCATATATGCTGTATATTCTACATACTGTTTGTGATATATGTTCCACATACTGTATGACATATATATTCTACATACTGTATGTGCCGTATAGTGTACATACTGTTCCTCAGAGCCTGGACACACCCCGAGCTACTTTCAGCCCCCGAGTTAGTGTCCTGGGGCACCGTAACAACGTACCACAGTGTGGATGGCTTATAAGAACAGAAATGTATTCTTCCACAGTTCAGGTGTTGGCAGGGCCCTGCTCTCTCTGATGGTTCAAGGGGAAGATCCTTGTCTCTCAGCTTCTGGTGGCTCCAGGTTTCCTTGGTTTGCAGATGCATCTTCACATGGCTGTCCGTCCTTGGTCTCTCTCTGTGTTTGTTCTCCTCTTTTATCAAAAAGGACAGCACTCAGCTAGGACCTCATGTTAACTAACTGATAACACCTGCAAAGACCCTATTTCCAAACAAGGTCACCTTCACAGGTACTGGGGGTTAAGACTTCAACTTATCCTTTTGGGGGTCACAATTCAACTCAGAACAGCCCGCTAGGCCCATTTCCTACCAGACGGGACCCAGAGCACTGAACCTGTGTTGTGTGGGGCGAATTCGTGGAGACTAGAGGAAGGAGCTCGAGGGTGCAGCAGGAGGCAGCCGGGGACCCCCTGCAGGGCCTCTGTCAGGGGAAGGTGTCCCAGGGCTGGGATGCCTGGGTTCTGGCTGTGAGGCAGAGGCTCCATCTGGGCAGAGTTGGGGCCCAGGACCCCCAGCTCAGGGCTCAGTTCCAGCTCCTTCCCCTATGGTCAGCTGAAACTGAAAGTATCACCACCCGGGGTCAGTCAAGGGGGGCTCTGGTAGACGCTGGCACGCCCCAGTGGCCAGGGAACAGAGGAAAGAAGAGTAAGGATGAAATTACTCCAGGGGGCTAGGTAAACTGGGAGCAGCCAGCCCAGGGAGCCTAGAACCCCCTCCCCAGGATTTCTGGACAAAATAGCCCAAAGCCCTTGTGAACTCCTTAGACTTATTGGAAGCTGCTTGTATGGGGAGGAGAGTGGGGCGCTGGGGAGTTGAGGAGGGGCCACCCTGCCCCAAGGCCCTTTCCACTTCTCTGCCCAGACGGGAGATCTCTTGGCTGTATCCCCGCAGTGCCCTCCTTCCAGGGGGGCGGGCAGCGCCCTCTCCTGCTGCCTCCCCATTCTTGCCGCTCTCTGGATGAGGTCCTGGCCCTCGCTGCCGTCCACACCCTGCGGGGCTCACAAGCAAGTTATCACAGTGTTTCTCCAGAAGCAGAGGGATCTTGGAGCAGGTTGTAGGGCGTTGAATGAATGAAGCATGTGGTGGGAAGAGAGAAAGGGGACCATCTTGTGTCTCCGGATGTAGGGTCCAGGGCAGGTTCTCCCTGCCCTCTGCCCCAGTGCAGAGCCAGCAGGGAGCAAAGCCAGTGGCTGCCACTGCAGGGCAGGAGGAGAGGCGCCCAGAGGGAGGAGGAGAAAGTGGGACGAGAAGGGGAAGCCTGTGCCTGGCACATGGAGGGCAGTCAAAAGCGTTTACAGGCTGTGTTAGTCTCCTAGAGCTGCCGTAACAAAAATACCACAAGTGGTGGCTTTAAAGAACAGAATTTTATGTTCTCACAGGTTTGTGGGCTAGAGATCTGAATTCAGGGCATGGCTCCAGGGGGAGGTTTTTCTTTGTCTCTTTCAGCTTCTAGTAGCTTCCGTCAATCCTCAGCATTCCTTGTCTTGTAGGCGTATCCGTCCTGTGTGTCTGTG